ACCCTGCTAACGGGTCATGACGTTCGACGGGTCCTGTCTGTTTATTTACCAGCTTGTTCATGTCTCTACATTTGGCCCGGCTGGCCGACTCCGTCACCTTTACACTGCCGGTCGGTTGAGGTCGTGCCGAAGTAAGTCCAGCTGCCCGGCCCCTGAACTCATTCAACACGATCATCTTCTCATTCGCTGTCTCTTGCGCCACGGCTTCACCTTGGGCTCTAGTGAGATCCACCACGGGCTGCTCCTCCATTGTATCTCGCGGTCGCTGGGTTGGCGAGGACTCTATCTTAGGGTCTTCTCCCAAACATTCCGGATCATTCGGTCCTCGCGCCCCGTCGATGCTTCCGATGACAAGGTCGTACAGGGGGGTCGTCATGCATAAAGCTGTAACCTTCCCGCTGAAGTACGGGGTTTCAACCTCAATTTCTGCTTCGGGAAGCATCCGAACCGTACGTTCAATTAGGCAAACCGGTTTCGTTTTGCCCGTTAACTCACTTTCCCGTACCAAATTTCTCCGCACGATAACAGTGGAGCTGCCGGTATCTCTTAACACCGTAATCTTTTTGTCCGCAACTTTTCCAGGCAGCGTTGGCATTTTCTTCGTAACACCGGTCGGCTGTTTTGCCATTACAGCACCCAAAATAGAAATTTTCTCCCCATTTTTCAACTCTACGAATCCATCTGTGACGGCATTATTACCGGATTTCGGTGCCGCTTGCACACAGGATACCTGGTGAGTTTGACTCGCCCCGTTTCGGCATGCGTCTGCTTTGTGCCCAGTCTGTCCACACTTAAAACATTTTACTGCCGTAGGGCTCGTAAAGATCGTTCGACAGTTTTTCGCGCGATGACCCACTCGGTTGCACAGAAAACATCGCGGAATGCTCTCCAGTGCACGCTTCTTTTCTTCGGGAGCCAATTTCTTCGAATCATCGGGACACTCCTTCTTGACCTTGGCCAAATTAGTTCCACCTTGCGCTTCCAAGAATTGATCAGCCAATTCAAGCATTCCTTCAAGTGACTCAGCCTTCCTCTCTTTCAAGTACAGCGACAGGTTTGGGTGGCAACTAGTAAGAAATTGTTCTCTAATTAGGAGCTCTCTAAGTTCATCGTACTCCTGCGCTGTCCATGAAAGTTCAATCCATCTGTCGAAATAGTGGCAAAGTCGGGCAGCATACTGCGTAGCCGTCTCACCATCAGCTGGTTTTCCTGTCCGAAATCTGTCCCAGAATCCTTCTACAGTAAATCTAAATCGCTTCTGCAAAGCAGCTTTCACCTTTGCGTAGTTGGCTGCATCGGTCGGCGTCAGCCTGCCGTACACACTGAGCGCTTCACCACTCAAGCAAGTACTCAAAGCAGTTGCCCATTGATGTTCCGGCCAATTCTGGCTCCTTGCAATCGTCTCAAATCTATGAAGGTACGCGTCAAGGTCTTTCCTCTCATCAAACGCTACGAGCAGCTTGCTTGGGTTCAAGAGGAAGCCGTGGTCCTCCCGTTTGCTGCTTTCAACTCTAGCTTGGACCAGAGTTTCACTTCGCTGTTGCAAACGGAGCCGCTCGAGTTCTATCTCGTGCTGACGCTGCCGTTCTCTTTCCTCTCTTTCTTCTTTCGCCCTCTCAGCTGCCAGTCTTTCTCTCTCCAGCTCCAACTTCAATTGCTGCTCTCTTTCTGCCCTTTCGTCTGCCATCTTTTCTCTCTCCAACTCCAACTTCAATTGTTGCTCTCTTTCTTCCTTCACCCTTTCAGCGGCCAGCCTTTCTCTCCCCAACTCAGCTGCTTTTTCTTCCTTGGCCCTCTCAGCTGCCAACCTCTCTCTCTCCAACTCAGCTTCTTTTTCCGCTTTGGCTCTTTCGACCGCACTCTTTTCTTTTTCCAGCTCAGCTGCCTTTTCTTCTATGGCCCTCTCTTTTTCTTCTTTTTCCTTCTGGGTGACCCACTTCCGTAGCTCGGCGCCAGAAAGACCCATCTTCTCACCAAGAGCGACTACCTTTTCGAGATCCATTGTGTCTCGCAAATGAAACCTTGCCGCGTGCAAAAAGTATCTGCCTAAATCAGTCTATCGGAACCCTCCCCTGCACTCGTTAACGAGAACACTGAACAACACACCAAATCGTTCCGATAGCACTATCAACAACTCGAGGCTCTTTCTCACTACTTTGGACACACTGTGCACCAAAAGGTCCTGTGTCGCGGACGCCAGATTAATTGTCACACCGGTCCCGTTAATTAGGTAGGCGATCGCCGGGCTAATTCCAAGGGCCGAAGTATCAGCCCCCCGAACCGCACCACGAAAGCGTGGACAATTTAGAAGTGGTCCTTTTTGGCGCGCCAGCGGACGCCGGCTGTGGCCCAAAGAACGTCAGAGCCGAGAGTTGATAAACAAACAAAATCATATTCTCAATAATGGCAGATCAAAACCAATACACAAGAATGCACACTCCACAATAGTTGAGTACAATATGTCACCAATCAACCAACGTACTACACAGTACAATCAGCCACACCCAAAACAACGGACGCAGACAACAACTCACACTGCAATGCAGTCGCGTGCATTTAACAACCAAGACACTTAAGGACTAAAGAGATAGAAAACCTATTCAGTCCAAAGTCCTTGGAACAAAAGTCTGAATGATACTCTTCCGAGAATCACTCACTCAAAGTCCAGCGTTGTTGTCGTTCCGCAGCCCTCGAAGTTTCTCTTCCAGAAAACCTCGCCGAAATTTCTCTTCCAGGAAACCTCACGTCTTCAATAGGCCACTCTCCAAGCTTCAAACTTCTTCGCCGGAAACACGTCGGCTTCACACACGCAGCTGTTGCCACGCGTCTTCGCTCGATAGCGGTAAACACACGCTCTTGCCTGTAGCTCGAGCCTTCACCCCTCAGGTGGAAATCCTCTTCTTCTCCTGCTTTGTCCCTACGGACAAAACCTTCGCCGACTACACGGCGGGATACCCAACGCGCTCTGGCGCTAACTTCCGTCTTCTCCTGCTCTCTCGTCTCGGCCGCTCGATTAAATACCTTCCGCGCGAGATTCCAGAAGGTTCTCGTCATTTCGTCGGCGCGATACGCAGCGAAGGCTGGGGAAAGGTGCGAGACTGTACGAGGGCCGTCCCCGACAGATGACTCAACCCGGCATAACACGCCCCCTTCCTTCCAGAAATTTCCAGCGCTTGCTCGGCCACCGTTGTGGGGTGAGGAGGTTCGTCGGCGAAGCCACGCTTCCGAGAGGAGAGGCTTGCGCGCCCGGGGAGCCTTTAGATGTTTCTTTTCTTTTTCTTTCTTTTTCGTTGACCTCGCGGCGTCACTCCGGCGGTTCGTCGCGAGAATTTGGCGGCGCGCCCTTTTTGAGCGCTCGTCTGTGACACCTGCTTAATTGTTTCTTTTTCCTTGGTCTCGAACCGATGCTTGCGATCGGCGCTCAAGTTACCACCGGTTCGAAATCCGCAACTGACCAACAAACACATCTCCCGAAATCTGCGCAACCCTGAGATTTTATGCTATAGTGTGCATGCATTGAGAAAACAATGGCTACAGTTCGTGAATCGCTATATATGTACTAAGTGGTAATTGAAAAGCTGATAAGCGCGATATTCGTTATTAAACCACAGATTAGCGTGATTTTCATCGTTTAGGCACGCTTGTCGAGCCTGGGAGATGTCTTTTTAATTGAAAAGAATTCCTTTTCCCGAGAAACCTTACGTTAAATAATGTTGTAAGTAAATTTAGCGCAAACTTGGTAATCTCTCGAAACACTCACACGCTCAAACTGGCTTCCACTCAAGAAACATACACACAGCGCTGTGTTGTGTGGGTTTTGAGTGGAAGCTAACGTGGATGGGGGGGTTTTTCTATAGAGATTACTAAGTTGCAGTAAATTTACTCACAGTATGACGAATTACCAACTGGCCAAACAACTAGTTTTCAATAAACTTAAGTTCAAGAATTTCGATAACTTAAATTTGTCCGATGCTCCTAGTGAATAGACGCATAACTAATTACTGACCTCTCGCAACAACGTTACCACTGACATAATCGGGTTTGCCGCCCCAGAGAGGCAGAAACTTTCCTGCAGCGTGGTGCCAGAGCAAGGACCATGCCGCAAGGGGTCTAGAAACACGTGGTACTTCAATTTCGCTGCTGGCCTCTGCACTCGTATTCTGAGCGCTAACTGCTCCGTCGGCGCTAACAGCTTCCCATCCTGTGAAGCTTGCACGAAAAGTTGCACCAGTAAGTGTCTGCTTGTGGTGTCAAATATCGTTAAAAAACAAACAACAAGGGTATCTTGCTGTTTTATGGCTTCCTGTATAGAACCGGCCTGCGCGAGGAACGTGTAGATTTATGGCGTTTTTTTTTAATGCGCATCCGCAAACCGCTCATTCTGCATTAGCTGCGATATGTGTTCAGGAGACGATCACAAGGTCCGCGGACACTATATGGGTAGTCGCTTACGTGGCTGCACTGTTGGGCTCCCAAAAACTCAGCGAAGATCGGCTGATACTTGGCTATTGTAAACCCAGTTATCACAAGCAAAAAGTACACGTTTGGCTCGATTTCACACAAAAAAAAAACTATGCACACAGATGGCAGCTGCAGTATAGGTTCGATATCGGCATTCTCTCACGCTTGGTAAACTTCTCTGTGTAACGTGCTGATATGACCTCCCTCTGCTCCGGTGTTTCAACAGACAACTTTGCCTTTTGCTTGAGATTTCGTAGCATGTTACCGGCGATTGAAACCACCGATAACATGCTTCGTTATATCGAGGTTTAAAACACGCGGTGTTGGTGAGCATGAGGTTGTGGCAAGTGAAATGTTAAAGTTCGTTATATCGACGTCGTGCTTGACTGTTGTTCTCTGAAACAGCCTATTCGAGCGCCAAAAAGCCGACACAAATCAATTACTCAATGGTAAATGGACTAGTGCAAGCTGCTTATCGCGCGGTTTATGCACAATATCTGCCCCACTGTATTCTGTTAAAGCCTTTCTTTATTCTACAGATGCTAATTCACATGAAGCCTGTTCTCGGGCTGTACCGAACCCGGAAGACTTCCTACCGAAGAAGCCGAAATAGACAAGCTGCTCTTCTCCGCTGTTTTCAAAAAAATGCCATTGAGACCCCTCGACTTCGACCGCACCACCGTATTACGTTCGTCTCATCACAAACTCTTCACACGTGCGGGTCTGAAGGGACTATCCAAACTTGCCTTCGATCCGGCATGCCTGCCTTTCCATGGATGACATATAAAAGCCAATCGTGCACTAAGGCAGTTTGTGAACGCTGGCCCGGATGTCGAATGTTCCGTGCGCGTGTAGTGCTCACTCTCTCCATCCTTCCATTCCCTTACCCCTAACGTCGGGTAGCAAACCGTGCGATCGTCTACAGTGGACCTTTCATATCCTTCCTATCCTTGCTTTCTTCACTTTCTCCTTTAGCCAAAACGTGTAATATTGTATGTTACTGAATACAGAAGTTAGCGTATCTCTCTCTCTCCTATATACGTAAGAACAGTCACAACGGAAGTGTATTTCGACAGTTTCGGCCTTATTCCTGATGAAGGCCTTACTCTAGCCGAAACTGACGAAATATAAACACTTCCGTTGCTACTGTTCCTATACGAAAGATGTACTTCACACACACACACACACACACACACACACACACACACACACACACACACACACACACACACACACACACACACACACACACACACACACACACACACACACACACACACACACACACACACACACACACACACACACACACATATATATATATATATATGTATGTATATATATATATATATATATATATATATATTATATATATATATATATATATATATATATATATATATATATATTTTACAGAAACACGCCAATTCATATGGGAATAAAAGATTGCGACAATAAAGGGACTACATTGCGCGTGAACCCTATAACTTCATCTATATAAGGATGCGCAACTACTGTAATACAATAATGAAGGCTTCTTCACTTTACACTTTTTAATTGTCGATAGAGAACTGGACATCTAACGGACTATAAAGTTATAAACGTCTCAGCATTGAAGAATCGTGCAGCGGCCATGGTTTATCAGCCCCTGGTAGTGCCGTGTACGAGCTCCACTTCGAGCTGCCTCCATGTGCTCAGAGGCTACGTGCACATTAACGATGGAAGAGAAGTGCGGGATGCTGTGCTGACGATTCATCCTAACATGGCAGCGTATACCTTAGTGAGAAGGCGACGCAAGAGAGGAAAATGGCACAGTATATACACGGGCTCCTTGCGTTTCACCTTCATCGTATGCCACCGCCGACACGAGGATCGAACCTGGGAAGTTCCGGTCATCGTACGAGCACCATAGACGCTATGCCACTGCGGCGTTAGTCTTGAGCAAAAGGTTTGCTCCCGCCCTCCCCCATTTCTCCGATGGGCGAAGGACTCCTGAATATTGATTCCCTACACTGTTACCATGTGGTGGGGATCTATACTTAGAGGCAATGACGAGGTCATCAGGTACGTGCGCATATGCTTGTTGCTCGCGACGAAAAGATGACGCAGAAGAAGATGGCTCCAGGTGAAAGCAAGAGTGCATCGCCGTTTATTCCGCGCCTCTTTGCAGCCGCCAAGAAATCGTGGTCGCCTCCGAACAGAACGCCACAGGTGAGTGGAGACACGTTTATGGTGTCCATTAAGCTTTCGAATGAGAGTCCCACGAAGCTACATTGCGGGTTTTTGCGTTGTAAGGTAACAGTGTGACGGACGATGTATTCTAAGTCTCCAGATTGATATAGATCAAGTGGCGCTGATCCTTTTTTACGTACGCATAAATGTAAATTCACCATCGTTCTTAACTTGATCGTTTTTTAAAAATAAATTGCTACCCTATCGGGGGCTGCATGGTTGAGCGTCCGTTTCCAATGCAGTAGGTACCGGGTTCGATTCGCAGTGCCGAGCAGAAACCAAGAGTTTTTGTTATTTTTTCGAAGAGCTAGAGGATTACACCGATGTGGTGCTCGCTATCTCAAACGCAGTGTCTATTCTGTCGGCAACCGGGATAATTGTTCAAAAAATTTCTCCCAGTGGTCGACTTTCATTGACTCTCATATGTCACGTGACTAACTGCCGCGGGGAGAAGAGAGAAAAAACGGGCTGTTGGGGACAGACTGGGCCTACGTACCCTAGCGTGCGTTAGATTAGGTTAGGTTAGGCTGCAAGACAGATGGACAGACGTGGCCCTGCGTGCGTTGGTTATGTTAGGTTACGTTAGGTCATGTTGAATAGGTTAGGTCAAGTTCTACCGGTTGCCGGAAGAATCATACAAAAAAATTATTCCGGCAGTTAGTCACGTGACTTATGAGAGCCAATGGGAGGCGACTGCCAGGAGAAAATGTTTTTGATCAATTATCCCAGATGGCCGGGAGAATAAACACACCCCATCTCGAAAGGTTACACCATAAGGGTCAGTAAGTGTCCTGGCATAGAACAGTAAGTGGGCATACGACAGCAGTCTGTAAGCTTTATATATCCGTTTTTTTGTTTAGTCCTTTGCTTGAGTTGCAGCGAATTTTCGTCAGAAGTCTGAGAGTGTGCATAATACCCATAAGACACTTTAGTGTTCTTACAGCACTTTGATTCTGCGCATCCGTGAAAATGTAAAGATAACCGTTCCTGCGGTGACAATAATATTCTGACGGAGCAAATTCAAAAGACCTTCTTGCATTAGGCGAGAGAGAGTGATGTTAATCTAAAATATAAGAGCAAAATTTTCTCGTTAGGTGGTACTTTGCAACATCTGTTTTTATTGTGTCGATGCTCGATATATCGCTAACGTTATGTGTGAACTAAACACCAGAAGAAATGTTTTAACGCAAATACGTGTTATGCAGGGGCCCACCAGAAATGAACGCACGTCACTTCCGTGACGGAAGTGACGTGCGTTAACTTCCACTGGACCCCCATTTCCGTCACGGAAATGACTTCAATAAGAGGACACGTGGCGGGGAGCTCGGAAAATAGTTGCTTGTCCCGGGAATGGAACCTCTCAATGCTCGACTACTGTTTTCTTTGTATCACGCAGTCTCCACGTGGATTGCGCGACGAGGGGCCGGTCACCTACTCCAAGCGGGTGGTTTGCGCAGTCGTTTTCGCCGCTGCAGCCGTCATCGTCGTTGCCGTGGTAACCATCTTCTACGTCTCCGCGGTGATCGCCCGGATGTTCGCAGGAAACGGTGAGCGATCGGAGGAACGCTTAAGTCTCTCGTGTCGCACCGAAGGCTGTTCCCGGTTCGAGGCGCTGCTCGTGGACACCCTCAACGCCAGCGTCGACCCGTGCCACGACTTCAAGGCGTACGTCAGCTCGCGCTGGCTCCCCGACCCGTCCAAGGAGCTGGATGAACACTGGCGTTACGAGTGGGACGTGAAATACGCCTGGGGTCGCATGGTGGTAGACGAGATACGACTGCACCGCCATACGTCGCCGCTGGAACGCCTCATATCCGATTCCTTCGAAGCATGTGCGCACAGGTTGGTTGCCTGAATGAATATATACCAGAACGAGTGCTGCAGTCCTGTGCACTGTGCGTTCTTCTCGTCTTCGCCTCTAGCACTGCGTCAATCGTGCAAGCATTCCAGCTGGCCCAATTTTTCATTTTACTACCTAAATGGCTCAACCAGACACTGGCGTGTGGTACAAAAATTCACGTGATTTCAAGGATTTTGATAAAGATGAGATAACCGTGAAGATGTGAGCCGTTATTCAGGATGGCAGTGAAATAGTTTGCCAGCGAACCATGCATCCAGAGGTTTAAACTGCTTGAACTACCGCCGCCACAGCGTAGGATATCAGCGGGTGCAATACCAGGTGAATTTCGCAGGGAGTGTGCGGTTGAAATCTTCCATTGCAACTCATAGATGGCCAAGTTGTCAATATAATCATCTGCAGCCACATCACAAAAAAAGTGTGCAGCTACTACTAACGTGATCTCTTCAGCGCCTATTATTGCAGATTTAAAAACCAAGTTAAAGTGGGTACATGTAATACGACAAAACTCACAGTCTCGCCGCAAGGGCGAATCGGTGAATACGATAGCAGCACATTGGAATCTAATGCGAAAAAAAAGGCAAGCGGATGAAAACGTGCTGTGCGTTATTCACGCACAAATGACGCACGAAATGGGCTCACAGGTACAGATGAACGTGAATCAACAAACGCCACGGTCGTTACTTCGCTCTGTCTGAAAAGCGCGCCATTTTCGCAAACTGGGGGCTGCGCAGTGAGCGAAGCCACCTTGGCGCGCCCGGTAACTACAATGAAATAATTCCAGTGGAAGGCCAAGGTGCACGATTCTCCGCACCACGAGATAAGCGCACGCACGCACGAGTTGATTCATTCCCCCCCCCCTTCCCCCTGGGTGCAAATACGCTGGGAGATGCGCGCGTCGCCGCGTTGCGACGAGCTGGGCGCCCAGCGCGCTCTTCGTGCCATCTCGCTGGTAATGCTGAAAACATGGTTTGAACATTGAATGACGTGCGCCTTAGTGGCTCAACGGTTAACGACACGCTCTCCGACGCGAGAGGTCACACGTTCGAGTCTTCTCTCTCTCTCTCTTATATATATATATATATATATATATATATATATATTGCCACGAGGAATTGTTAAGGCGCAGTACAACGCAGACGTTGTTAAAAGAGGAACGCTGACGGCATCGCTACGACTCATGAAGCCCGCCGGAAGGCACGAGCCGGCCCAGCCTGTGCACGAGCTGCTACCGAGCAGCGGAAAAGAAGAGAAGAAGAGGACGACGAGCGTTCGCTGCTTTCTCCCAGCTACTGTGTAGTTCTTTTGGCTTTGGGCACAAGTTCGCCCTTATTAAACCTTGTAAATAGGACGTCCCGGTTGTGAGGTTGTTATATCCGTTACATTTTCTGGTGGAGGTGCTGGGTACATGATTCCGAGCCCCACGCAAGAGCGAAGTCCAAGCACTGACCAGCCGCAACCAGTGGAGCTTACACCGGTGCACCAACGAGTCAGCCGCCGTATCCGAGGAGAGTTGCCAGAATTTGGGCCACTCCCTTCTGTATCAAGGGCATCGGTGACGGAGACAAGCGCCGCCACCACCATGACGAGCCAAGTTACGCCGGCACAACTCATCGTAAGCCAACCGGTCATCCCAAAGGTGTTTCATGGTGACCCATACGAGGACGCCGAAGACTGGTTAGAGCATTTCGAGAGAGTGGGAAATCTAAATCAGTGGAACGAGGAAGGCAAGCTGCGTAACGTCTACATTGCGTTGGAAGACTCTGCACGAGTGTGGTACGAAAACCACGAGGCATCTCTGACGTCGTGGCAAGAGTTTCGGCGGCAGCTACTGAGTACGTTCGCCAACAGTGATCGCCGGGAAAAGGCGGAAGCAGCTCTCCGCACACGGATTCAACGAACGAACGAAACTGTCGCGATGTACATCGAAGACATGTCCCGCCTTTTCAAGCGAGCTGATCCTGGCATGACGGAAGACAAGAAAGTGCGCCACCTCATGCACGGGGTAAAGCAAGAATTGTTCGCGGGACTCATCCGCAATCCGCCCCGTACTGTTGCTGAGTTTCGGTCGGAAGCAACAACCATCGAAACGACGCTTCAGCAGAGAGCCCGACAGTACAACCGCGACGTAGCCGGTGCATCCGCAGGAGTCTACTCAGCAGGCGTCGTGGATAATCTTGACACATTGCGCGAGCTCGTCCGGTCTGTTGTCAGGGAAGAATTAAGGAAACTGCAGTCACCTGATGTCACCCCCGAGCTGTCTCTTGCTGAAGTTGTCCGAGACGAAATTCGACAGGCCATGCGGGAGCCGCGGAGTGATGTGCCGGCGACACGACGGGCGGTAACGTACTCCGAGGTGCTCAGGCGACCTACTCTGCACTGTTCGCCGATCGAGACACCAAGTACTTATGTACAGACAATGCGCAGCCCGCCTGAAATCGTAGAGGCAACACGCACTCCACCTCGTGCGAGAGAGATGATGCCACGGAAGAGCGATGTGTGGCGAGATGCCACACGTAGGCCCTTGTGTTTCCACTGTGGAGAGGCTGGCCACCTGTACCGATTCTGCCGATATCGTCAAGCTGGTCTTAGGGGATTCGCCATCAATGCACCGTGTCCGCGAAACGGCGAAAGACCTTCCGAGATTGAAGAATACCTATGCTCACGTCGGGAATTTGACCCGCCTCGTCGTCATCAACCACGCTCACCATCCCCTATGCGCTACCGCTCGTCTAGCCCACGTCCCTTCCCAAGCACGTCTAGGCAGCGTTCGCCTAGCCCAAATCCGGGAAACTGAAGAGGGCGACCTGTGGAGGCGAGGCCGCTGGCGACTTGGGATATGAAGATCCTCCACTGCGGTACGAGCCTGATAACGACGACTGTTTCCAGGTAAAGGAGTGCAGTACAGAGAAAATTACTTCAGACTTGCCGTTGGTGATTGACGGACTAGAGCTCAATGCTTTGATCGATACTGGTGCGGATTATTCTGTGATAAGTTACGAATTAGCGAAGCGACTCAAGAAAGTTCTGACCGAATGGGGTGGACCTCAAGTACGTACTGCAGGTGGTCACCTCATAACCCCTTCCGGCCGATGTACCGCAAGGGTCATGATACGGGGCTTCACTTACGTCGGTGACTTTGTCGTCCTGCCTGTGTGCTCGAGGGAAGTGATACTGGGAATGGATTTCCTACAAGCTAATGGTGCGATTATCAATTTACAGAGGTCGAGCGTGTCCTTTTCGACGGAGCAAGCTTTAAAGGTAGCACGATCAGATGAACGATGTACCACTCCACTGCGCGTCGTCGACGATGATGTGACTGTACCGCCACGGAGCAGTATAATGGTTCTCGTGCATAATGATGCATTCAGCGACTACGAGGGTGTGGCGGAGAGCAACGTGGATGTTTTCTTGAAAAGAGGCGTTTGTGTGGCACGAGGGATTATCCAGCTGCGAAACGGGTGCACAGACATCCTCTTGACGAATTTCGGTAACGAATTCCAGCACATCGCAAAAGGGACGGCAATAGCGTTTCTTCATGAGTTCTGTGAAGTGACAGAAATATGCAGTCTTGAAACGACGTCACCGAATGTGAAACTTCCATCTGATGCCTGCGACACAATATACGTAAATCCTAATCTTTCAGAGATTCAACGTCAACAGCTATACGACCTCGTGCGGGAATTTGGCAGCTGTTTCTCCAACAGTTCAAAGGTACGGCGCACGAGCATTACAAAACACAGGATCATAACGGACGAGACAACCAGGCCGGTATGCCAGCACCCGTATCGTGTTTCCCCTAAGGAAAGGGAAGTCATCAAGAAGCAGGTACGAGAAATGCTTGAAGATGATGTTATCCAGCCTTCTAACAGCCCGTGGTCATCTCCCGTGGTGCTTGTCAAGAAGAAGGATAACACGCTACGGTTTTGTGTCGACTACAGGAAACTGAATGCTGTGACTAAACGGGATGTATATCCCCTTCCACGCATCGACGACACGTTAGATCGACTTCGGTGTGCCAAGTTCTTCTCATCACTAGATCTGAAAAGTGGATACTGGCAGATCGAGGTTGATGAACGTGATCGCGAAAAGACTGCTTTTGTTACCCCGGACGGACTTTACGAATTTAAGGCTCTCCCGTTTGGTCTCTGTTGTGCGCCGGCAACGTTCCAACGCATGATGGACACTGTGCTTTCCGGATTGAAGTGGCAGTGTTGCCTAGTGTACCTAGACGACGTGGTCATCTTCGCGGCTACATTTGAGGAGCACATCAAGCGCCTTCGGTCAGTGTTAGAGGCAATCCGTTCGGCAGATTTGACAATCAAGCCAGAGAAGTGCCGATTAGCTTTCGAAGAGCTTCGTTTTCTTGGGCATGTCGTCAGCGCCCAAGGTGTTCGCCCTGATCCTGATAAGACGGCCGCCGTCGCAAGGTTTCCGGTGCCAACAGACAAAAAGTCAGTACGGAGATTTCTAGGTCTATGTGCGTACTATAGACGATTTGTGAGAAATTTTTCAAAGATCGCAGAACCCTTAACGAGACTTACGAGAGAAGATGTGCCTTTCCAGTGGCAAAACGAGCAACAAAGCGCCTTCAACGAATTGAGAAAGAGGTTAGAAAACCCCCCGATTCTTTCTCACTTTGATGAGACAGCCGACACGGAAATACACACAGATGCCAGTAACATCGGCCTTGGATGCGTTCTAATACAGTGGCAGAAAGGTGAAGAAAAAGTGATAGCTTATGCCAGTCGGACTCTAACAAAAGCAGAGACAAACTATTCGGCCACGGAAAAAGAATGCCTTGCCGTCGTCTGGGCCATCAGTAAATTTCGGCCGTACCTATATGGTAGACCATTCAAGGCAGTCAGCGATCACCATGCGCTTTGCTGGCTGGCGAACATAAAGGAACCATCTGGACGACTAGCAAGGTGGAGCCTCAGACTGCAAGAATACGATATAACAGTGGTATACCGATCTGGCAAAAAACATACCGATGCCGACTGTTTGTCACGGGCTCCTACAGACACACCACTATCAGAAGAAGACGACTTTCCGTTCGTAGGAATTGTCGAGACCACTCAAATAGCCGAACTCCAACGTACAGACAAAGAATTACTCCCGCTTATCGAACACCTGCAAGGAATTGACGTACAAGTACCCCGTATATTTTCTCGAAGCCTCGCATTGTTCTGCCTCCGAGGAAACGTTCTCTACAAGAGAAACTTCAAGCCCAACCGCGAAAAGTTCCTGCTTGTCGTTCCAGCAACTATGCGACAAGAAATACTTCGAGCGTGTCACGATGAGCCCACATCTGGACATTTGGGTGTGACGCGAACGCTTGCAAGGATCAGTCTCCATTATTATTGGCCCAAGCTACTAGCTTCAGTGCAACACTACGTCAAAACATGCCGCGAGTGCCAAAGACGAAAAACACCACGTTCTAAACCAGCGGGCCTTCTACAACCTATAGATCCACCGAAAGCGCCTTTCCGCCAAGTTGGAATGGACCTCCTTGGACCCTTCCCGACATCTTTACTCGGCAAGAAATGGATCGTTGTGGCCACTGATTATTTAACTAGATACGCCGAAACAGACTCTTTGGAACGAGGAACGGCAGCAGAAGTGGCCCAATTCTTCGTACACAAAATAGTCCTGCGACATGGCGCTCCAACGGTTGTAATCACCGATCGCGGAACGGCTTTCACGGCGCAACTTTTGAAGTGCCTGCTCAACATGACTCACACTGTTCATAGGAAAACCACTGCATATCATCCTCAATGCAATGGCCTGACCGAACGCCTTAACAGAACTTTAGCGGACATGATATCCATGTATGTGGATGTCGAGCACAAAAAGTGGGACGAAATTTTACCATACGTCACTTTCGCCTACAATACGGCTGTGCAAGAGACCACCAAAATCACCCCATTTGAACTAGTTTACGGTCGTGCTGTTACCACAACACTGGATGCTATGTTACCAATAGACCAAGATGACTACCCCCCCGATCTTGACGACTTTCTACAAAGAGCGGAAGAAGCCCGCCAGTTAGCAAGATACCGAATACGCCACCAACACCGCATCGATGCCGACCGCTACAACCGAGGAAGACTTGACACGCGATATGACGTTGGCGACAAAGTGTGGATATGGACTCCAGTACGACGACGAGGCCTCTCCGAAAAACTCATTTCCCGGTATTTTGGCCCCTACGAGATCGTACAGCGACACAATGACCTCGTCTACGAAGTCAAGCCTGCAGGCCACCTGCATTCGAGGCGACGCAATCCCACGGAGCGTGTACACATTGTACGGATGAAACCGTACTACGACCGATTCCAAACCTAGCCACCCCAATACCTTGACGTACTGCAACCTCATTTTTACAAACTTGCACACACAAAAAAAAAAACAGCCTCATCGCAAGCATCGGGGCGATGCCGCTTGAGAGGGGGGATAATGCCACGAGGAATTGTTAAGGCGCAGTACAACGCAGACGTTGTTAAAAGAGGAACGCTGACGGCATCGCTACGACTCATGAAGCCCGCCGGAAGGCACGAGCCGGCCCAGCCTGTGCACGAGCTGCTACCGAGCAGCGGAAAAGAAGAGAAGAAGAGGACGACGAGCGTTCGCTGCTTTCTCCCAGCTACTGTGTAGTTCTTTTGGCTTTGGGCACAAGTTCGCCCTTATTAAACCTTGTAAATAGGACGTCCCGGTTGTGAGGTTGTTATATCCGTTACAATATATATATATATATATATATATATATATATATATATATATATATATATATATATATATATATATATATATATATATATATATATATATATATATATGCATGATGGCGGTGACTAACGGCGACACCGACGGCAAAAAACAGCCGGGAATGTGCACATGATTGCTCTCGCAATAAGTTTGTTAACCTACTTCAATTCGGGAAAACGCTAAGCCTATTTATTGTTGAAGTTTCGAGAGCAGTCAGCAGACGTACATTTCAACTATGTTGGGAAAGGTTCAACATTGTCGAAAGTAATCCAGTAGCCGAGTTGTCTATCACGTCTTGAGGACAGACGTATATTGTAACAGGTGCCTTCCGTACTCATTGCGTGACGGGGCGTGGTGAATGGGTCATGTATTTCTTACGAACAGGGGATGTAAAGCCTGTTTCACACTTCGGCTGAAAATCTCGTAGCACGTAGCATCGCGATGCGACCATGATGTGGCCAGTGCGGCAGGCGCTGGAGGGGCGCAGTGCTGAACGGTTGATGATACATTTTTATTTATGAAAAAAAAAGAAAAAAGGGAGGGGAGAATGTCAAGGGTGGTTTTGAACTGCGGCTACCGCCGGCGGTGCGCGTTGACCACATTGTCGGGCAGCGGGCGAATTTCATCGTTACTGCGGAAACTGGACCGACGTCGATCATCGCGTCACTGTACGCCTCACTCCACCCAAAATAAGCGCCGTCATATCGTTGCCGCTAGGGACATGACGGCGCATTAAGTGAATTTGGAGGCTTGACGTGTGCATTTCGGCGCCGGTGAGTGAGTGTTGCCTCATGTTATGAATGCTGTCGAGAAAATAGCACGTTCAGGTTGTTATCTTGACCCTACATCAATTCTGAACACGTTGCCGGTTGTTTTATTGAGTTGAATCCGCAAAGCTGCACGGCAGTCGCTGTAGACTGCTTTGTTCTTCTAGCGTGAAATAAATACCACGCCCTGTACGTCCTCATTATGATGTTCTCCGTCGCAGCGTACTGTGGTGGACACACCAAAGAAAAATATATTAGAACGCACTAGTATATTCCCGGCGTTTCGCAAGATCAAACAACGTATGTTGTCAAATACTGTTTTTACAGAACACCATTATCGCCAATGAAGGCTGACAGGTTGGTACCGCAAAGTTTAGTCCAGAATATCGGTCAAGTTACCACAGCAACGATGAAATCAGCAGGCTGCCCGACAATGTTGCCAGCGCGCACCACTGTATATAGCAGACGATGCGGTTCAACACCACGCTCTTCAAACGTTTGCGCATGCGCGAGATGCGGCCGGCGTGCGACTGCAGCGCTGGCCGCACCTCGATGTCATGCATCAAGATTTCGCCTAAGTGCGCAACAGACTGTACATGCAGCCAAATGAACATCTCAGTTGCATGATTCTGATTTCCGTATATACTTGAAAAGTGCAAAGAGACTAATGACTAGCGTTAACTAATTATGACTAATGTCAGCCATAATCTTGGTTTATTGATAGATAATGTTGTCATAGAGATCTATAATCTTGTGTATCCATTTTTATTAGCCCCGAAAGTGTATACGCGTAGTATCAAGCCAATTGTTCACCTGTTGGCAAAACATTTTACCAATAACTTTCACGTGAACAGGGCCACGGAGAACGCGGCCGAGACGCGCCGGAAGTTCAAGCAGCTGATGCGCGACCTCGGCATTCCTTGGCCCGAAAAGCCGCCCGCCGACGTGGACCCGTTTGAAGCTCACCTCAACCTGAGCATCCGCTGGAACATACCACTCTGGTTCGATGTCAAGATGCTTCCGCCGCTCGCCGACACCTCAAGAGGTCGCAAGGTGATCTACATCTATCCGAGTGCATACGCCAAATTCTGGAAAGGTCAGTACCTCGTCATGACCAGCCAGGCCACGATTCTCCGATACTTGGACCAGTACTTGGCCTATTTTCGCCCCGACTCGACTCGGAATGCCAGCGGCGAGGGGGCCACCGAACTGTGCCCGTATCGCGCTGTGTATGATCTAACCAGGCTCATCGTCTTTCAGCTCGCCGAAGTCGTCACAAAGGACAAGTCTGTCATGGTCTTTAAGCTCGACTCTCTAGCACAAGCGTTTGGTCTGAAAACAGAACGCCTCGTTTCATTGATGAGCAAGTACTTCCTTACCGAGAACTTCTCATCTTTCGAACCAGAGGACACGGCCATCGTGAAGGCGACGGGCACGTTGGACGTCGTCCGTCAAATCATCACGACGTCGGATGCCTCGGCATTGTTGAGCCACCTGGGTTGGTGGATGCTGCAGGTCTACGCACCCGTAGCGGACAACCGCTTCTTCGTTCAGAAGTACGGAAGCGTTGAGAAGGCCGAGCTGCTGCGCCCGCTGTTCTGTGAGACCCAGGTCGAGACTTCCTTCAAGCTCCTGCTACTCGTCAATCACATGTCTCTCAACTTTCGCAGACGCGCTCAGCGAGACATCCACGAACTCCTGACCAGCGTTCGAGAGGCTGTCGTGGCCGGGTGCGACAAGTCGGACTTGTCGGCCGACGTCAAGAAGTTGCTCGCCACTAAGCTGAAACGCTTGAGCGTCAACTTGTGGCCCAAACCGGAGTTCCAGTCTGTGTCTCTGCTCCAGCGCGTCTACTCGTTCAAGTACGCGAGCAAGAAGACCATGCTGGACTACTGGATCTCCGAGAGGCTCGGCAACGCGGCGCTCATCGGTGGCAGCGCGTACTTCGAGGACAAGCGGCTGCCGCATGGCAACTCGAAGGACCCGTTCTCTTACGACAGCATATTGGACACCGTCAGTTTGTCGATGGTCGCCGTGCACGAGCCGTTTTACTACATCCACGACGAGGCTTTCGGTGCGATTAACTACGGTGGTCTGGGCGCAGGCTTCGCGAATGTCCTCTTGGAAGGCCTCGAAAACGACCCCGCGTTGCGTCACGCCGTGGCTGGTGACGCATCGAACCGCGCTAACGACGGAAACGACACCGCACCCTGGGGTTCTGCGACCAGCAGCAATACTACTGGTTCGCAGCGGCCTGAGCTCGGTCTAGTCGGCCCAGCCTTTCTGCCGGCATTTCGCGCGTTCCAGGCGAAGATGCATGGCAAGGGCCTTGTTAACGCGGGCCCATTCTCGCCGGCGAAAGTTTTCTTCGTCAACTTCTGCCACAGTCAGACGCGCATGTCGGCCAGCTTCGACTGCAATGCAGCTCTGCGCGGAGTGGACGATTTCGTCAGCGCGTTTCGTTGCAGACGTGGCAGCTATATGAATCCTTGACATTGCCAGGGTTTCTCATTGACGCTTGTGACGATGAATTTTGTTGATAATTTAATCATTTAATTGCTTCATTTAATTGCTGTGGCATGCTTATTTCTGCGTGATTGTATACACGTGTTGTTTACTGGTGTCCTGAAACACGGCTGTTTTCATAAAGCCCTGAATGCTGAGATTTGTTATTTGGTCAGAGGGTTATTTAGCAGTGGTAATATTGCAGACATAGCACTCCAATCCTTCAAAACAGGATAGTTATAGCGCGATAACAGAAGGACAACAAAGAGACAAGAAGGACAGGAAGTACACGAGCGCTCGTGTCCTTCGTGTCCTTCTTGTCTCTTTGTCGTCCTTCTGTTCTCGCGCTATAACTATCGTCATGTCATACCAACTAGCCCAAGCTGCCATACTTCAATACATGTTTCTACTGAAACTGTACTTATCGATCGCTATAAGACATGGGAGATGCAGAAAATCTTGTAAATGGTAATAGTTCATCAGCACCTCACATGTCAACCTTATTTCTCCGTATATGCTTTCGTTAAGGAAAGTGGACGTGCACTGCTGCAAATTAAAGGGAACTCGTTTGCGTGGCAGCTTTGTTGACTCACTTGAGTTTGATGTGGAACTGTATGACGGAACAAATATCGCATATAGGCACCGAGAAATCAACCGATGGTTATTTTTTCCGCCATTTTTTTCCCTTTGTACATGCCGTTTATGATGCTACTTGCTCATGCATGTTAGAGATCGGCAAGGAGTTATGCGACTGAGAGATTCCCGCTAAGCCGCGCAACAACGACCTCTAATGTGAATGTTCAGACCTGTAGTACATATCAATCTACAGTATTAACGGATATCCGTCTTCTGCCCGTAAAGTTTTGTATGTATGTATGTATGTATGTATGTATGTATGTATGTATGTATGTATGTATGTATGTATGTATGTATGTATGTATGTATGTATGTATGTATGGTATGTATGTATGTATGTATGTATGTATGTATGTATGTATGTATGTATGTAGTATGTATGTATGTATGTATGATGTATGTATGTATGTATGTATGTGTATGTATGTATGTATGTATGTATGTGTATGTATGTATGTATGTATGTATGTATGTATGTATGTATGTATGTATGTATGTATGTATGTATGTATGTATGTATGTATGTATGTATGTATGTATGTATGTATGTATGTATGTATGTATGTATGTATGTATGTATGTAGTATGTATGTATGTATGTATGTATGTGTATGTATGTATGTATGTATGTATGTATGTATGTGTATGTATGTATGTATGTGTATGTATGTATGTTGTATGTATGTATGTATGTATGTATGTATGTATGTAATATAGAGTGGGAAAGGGGGTGAGAGTGAGGAGAAGAGACAGGAAGTGAAGAAGGCAGCCAACTTTGCCGTAAAGCCAGTTTTCGCACCACTAATGCATAGATGCGCCAATTTGTTTTTCCTTTCTCTTTACGCGAGACAGAAAATGAAGCTGGGCAGATGATATTTTAAGAAGCTCGCTGGTATAACGTGGCGGCAGGAAGCGCAGGACCGGGTTGACTGGTGGAATCATGGTAGAGGGCTTTGCCCTGCAGTGGGCGTATACAGCCGGGTTGACGATAGTGATATTCTCCGTTTCGTGTATCGCTGCCGGCTGTCAATCGTGCGTCGACATTGAAAGCAATCCTTCGCACTCTTCGCGATCCAACTCTCATAATGTCCTGTGAGTATATCAACAGCTTTCGCGAAAGAAGCAACAGCTTTCCGAGATGGCGGGCACACCACGTGCCCGCCATCTCGGAGGCCATGCGCAGTCATACCCCCTCTCGACTCACAGGGGAGGGTGAGCCGGTCTCGTCGTGGAAGCATAAGAAAACAGGCCATCGAGGACGGACAAGATGACGCTTGCAGTGCCAAGGCTAACAAGCATGGAAGAGAGAAAGAGACTGCACACTGACAAGCCAAGCCCCGCAGGGGTTTGACTTTTAATACGGTACTAGGACATTTGCACGCCACTTCAATTTACCTTGAGCTGACCTTTCGTGACCTTTCACTGTACGAATTCACGAGACCAACAAGGGTGCCTTTGCTCTGGTGTCAGGCTTCGATCTGACTGGGTGTGACTGTCAAGTTTTCAGGCGAAAGCTTTAACTGACTACGTTTCTAGGTCGTGTGAGGTTCAAAGCAGATGGTCGTAGAAATTCAGAGCTCCTTCACTACGGATTAGAATATGAAAGGTTAGCGAATATTACTATAGCTAATTTATAAATCATTATTATTCGCTACACTGAGTGAATAAAGCGGCATACACTGAATGATCCCAGTGTTTCTCGTGCATATGACGCATGTTACCTGATCATTGAGGGCAGCGCGGTGGTCACAAAATGAGATTCGGTAGTACACATCCCAATATATTGAAGGGATGAAAGTGGCATAACGTTCGTTTTGCTATATGCAAGGGGTCTTCTCTTCGATGAAAAATCGTTCGCATCATTTTTTCATGTCGGCTACAGCATACGTCGTTCATTTTCTTTTACACCGCGTCTGTTTTTCGATGCAGAAATGCTGGATTGGTTGAGTTCTTCGGTTAGCAGACAATGATGATGATGATGAAGATTATGATGATGATGAAGCTCCTTGGATCATTAGCACCTACCCACTCTGGTGGATCGGCCATGAGTCGGGCGGATCATACATACTGGATTTAGGATTTATGAGTAAGAGCTAAATTAAGTTTAAGATGATTTTTTAATGTAAAGTTAATTATGAATAATTGTAATTTTAAGTCGCACTATTTTGTGTAATCCCCCAGAGATTGAAGATCTTTTGACTAGGAAGGCTGACAATGAATGGTTGGTCTACGCGCCTGCTGTCCGTGGACACGATCGGCCGAAACGTAGCCATATGGCGATGTTGGTGGTTGTGATGATGATGAAGTGGGTGCGCCAGCTACGCTTCAGTTTGGTCGATTTAACTGCAACGTTTGCGCGAAAAAAAAACAACAACCTCGGATTATTTAGAACATACTAGGAACATCAAGGCAAGAGCAGTATACTTGGACCTCCTGTTTTTCTGTTGTTAGCCTTTATGTTAATGTTGTTATTGTTAATAGCGTTCTCAGGTATAAAAAAGTTATAAGATGATCATAACACGATAATATGTAGAGAAGGAAATTAAAGAAAGCTTGGAATAAGTTTGAGCTTCGCCTTCAAGAGTAGGGCGCGATAGTGTAAATCAAGACTCGTGTGCACCGCCTTCATAACTGCTGTAGACTAGCTTTCTCTCTAGGTGCGTCTACGTCGAACGTCTATGTGCGTTGCATTGACCGTTTCGAACTATCATATAAAGCTTACTGCAAGTATACACGTGCGAAATAACCACTGCGCCATAATTGCTCCTTTTGCTAATCGGCAATAGGAAGAATTGTCTTGCGTGTCCGTTGTTGTCTTACAGACGCGTGTTGTCTGAAGACAGCACGTGCTGTCTTAAGACAGCACGTGAAACTATAGGCAGCTGCTTACGTTGTTCACGCTGATGAGACGATGAAATGTGTCCCAGACCGGGTGGGCTTTTAAATTTAAAACACCGCTTGTTGCGAATTGCACATCTTTAGACGCCTGGCGTGGTTCTATACGCTTCTGCCACGCAGTAATTATTACACGAGTTAAGGAAATCACTAGTTAAGGTTCGCATATTTTTTTTCGCATATTTATGGCTGTGCAATAGGACACCCGCTTTCCACGCAGAAGGTCTGGGTGAATATCTCAATCGAACCCAATTATCATTTATTGCTTTGCATCTCTCTTGATCTTTCACTTGCGAACAACGATGATTTCTCGCTCGCAACCAATGACACCGACATGAACGATGACGCTGGAATTACTGCAAAACGAAGTCTTTAACGCTCCGTCGCACGTTGATACTTTCTCCGCGTCCACTTGCTGAACTAACGGCTGGTCATTCAAAACTATTTGGCTAAACGTAACAAAAATGGATGGTTTTTTTTGAACTTATCAACCTTTATTTTGCAAGTAGCACATAGAAAATCAAATATCTCAGCTGAAATGGTCAAAAGCATCATGTGCCTAGTCTAAATTACCCTTACGCTATCTTCATAATACTTTAGCTTTGGCATTTCGCCTCATACCGGCGTAACAAGCAAAATAGGGCTTGCATTGCAAAAGCCTTTGTGCAGTATACATTGCATTTGGTTTTTCTTTGTTAAGGCAAACATGCAAGAAAAATATGCGGAAATTAGGAAAGCCAAACACGCCACATCTCGGCCTACAGAGTATGTTCACAATCGCCAGAGGTAGACAGAAATGTTTCATTATAGGGCTTGCATAACGTCAAGTGTTCATGTTGCTACCGCGTTCGCAATCAAACGCAGAAACGAAGTCAGTCGCTGCTTGCAGCGCAGCGTTACAGTCGAAGCTAGCGCGCACGCGTGTCTGGCTGTGGCAGAAATTGACAAAAAACACTTTCGCCGGCGAAAATCGGCCCGCGTTAAGAGAACCGGCACCGCGCATCTTCGACTGGAACGCGCGGAATGCCGGCAAAAATAATGGACCGTGTTCCAGCCGTGGCGAGCCTTTAGTATCGTTGCCGATCACAGCGCCCCACGGTAGGCTCTCGCTTCCGTGGGCAGCGCCGCTCGAAGCGTGACTGGCGACGGCGGTGCGCAACGCCGGGTCGCTCTCCAGACCTTCCTGGAGGGTCATCGCGAAGCTCGCACCCAGACCACCGTAGTTTATTGCTCCGAACGCGTCGTCATCGGTGTAATAAAACGGCTCGTGCACCGCGACCATCGACAAGCTGACGGTGTCTAAGATGCTGTCGTAGGAGAAGGTGTCCTTGGAGTTCCCGTGCGGCAGCCGCTTGTCCTCGAAGTACGCGCTGCTACCGATGAGCGCCGCGTTGCCCCTCCTCTCCGAGATCCAGTAGTCCAACATGGTCTTCTTGCTCCTGTACTCGAACGAGTAG